GAAACTATGGCTAAGGAAGTCCATACTCAAGGAAGCAGCCAGCACTGAGTCAGGTCTCTGAAATGGGATTGCTTTTCATTGTCCAGATGATGGTAAGTGACAGGAGGCTCTGTCTTTGCAGGACGTCATCACCTGGATCAGAGGAAATTCCACAAACCAAGACTTCCCAAACTGCATTTGTTCTTAGATACAGTTGGTCTGTGATCCTATGTGATTGCTCCAGCATGTCTGATCCATTGCTATTGTTTACCTTAAGCTATGTACAAAACACCTCCTTTGTTGAATGTGTAATGAGACTGCTGTATGTGATGTTATCTGCATAGGCAGGAATAATTTCTGTTGACTACCAGCAAGTATCGTAGCCATAAGCAAATTGGTCATTTCTGTGGCAGCAACTGCATGGGTCAGCTGTTGGATCAGTCAGGGGCCTAACCCAACAGCTGCCTGTTGACAGAGCCCCTCACTTCAGATGCTAACTACCCAGGATGGTAGTTAAATTGATAAATGGTGCTTATCAGTTGACTTGGGCACAGGAGGAGCCTTTTGGGGGAATCTCTTTTGGCTGCCTGAAATTCTTCCATGGAGAGGTGCTATAACAGTTAATCAGATGTGTTGTTCTGAAGGAGCAGTTCAGCCAGTAACCTTGTCTCAGGTCATCTTGTCCCATCATGTATGCACAAACTGACAGGGGGCAGGTCCTGGACCACCCAGCAAACTGATAGGTAAGTGCACGGGGTATGTGCAGAGGCAGTTATACCAGAACTACAGTACACAGTTGAAGCCGTATGTCAGAATTATAAATTGAATTGCATGGATTGTGCCACAGTATGCAGGTATGTGTAAAGTGCTAAGTTGGTACTATTTTTATGAAACCTACCATTTTTAGCCCTGTACTTAAATTTTCAACAAAGACAACCAATAATCATTAGCTTTTAGCTTCATTCTTTATAGGTATTTATGCCGACTAAAACCTATGGTCTGAGTCTGTATTTTAGTGAACAGAATTTGAGCTGTACAAATGACAGAGGACACTGCCATCACATAGTTGGCCTAAAACCTGGGGGATTTACTGCCATAGTTGTCCTGATAAAGGCAGTTCTTGTGATGGAATGCATCTGACTATACTTGCGCATTGGACCTGAAGATTCCATAGTGCTTTGACCTTTTCTAATACTGTGTATGGGTTCTTTTCAGCGCACTGTCTCTAAAATAAATAAAATTTAAACCCTTGCTTTATGCAATTGTCTCCTGAGCTAATAATGTACAAGGAGACTTTGCCATACCTGTGCCATATATACCTGTAGGTAGACATTAGTGTCAAATAAGTAATGTCCTGCTGTTTAAGTGAATCTTGAATTTCTGAAGCATTTGTGGGTTTGTCCACACATATGGTAATATAAAAAACCTCTGAATAAACTACCTTTTTCAAAACAGAACATGACCAGTACTGTTAACATCTTTGCGAGCAACATGGACCAGTGGGATTGAGTGCACCCTTGGCAAGTTTGCCAACACCAAGCTGAGTGGTGTGGTCAGCACACTGGAGGGAAGGGTTGCCATCCAGAGGGACATAGGTAGGCTTGAGAGGTGGCCCTGACCTGTGAGAGCCTCATGAAATTCAGCAAGGCCAAGTGCAACATCCTGCACATGGGCTAGGGCAATTTCAAACACAAACTGGAAAAATAAATAATTCATTGAGAGCAACTCTGCAGGTAAGCACTTAGGGATGTTGTTCAGTGAAAAACTTCTTACAAGGGCATGTAGTGACAGGACAGGGGGGAACCACTTCAAATCAACAAAGTAGGTTTAGATTAGATGCCATGAAAAGTTGCTTAGCATGGGGGTGGTGAGGCACTGGCACAGTTTATCCAGGTGCCACATCCCTGGAAGTGTTCAAGGCCAGGCTGGATGGGGCTTTGTGCAACTCAGTGTATTGGAAAGGGTCCCTATCCATGGCAGGGGCAGTAAAATTTAGATGATCTTTAAGATCCCTTCCAATATAAAAGATTCTATGACTATGATTCTATGATTTCGTCCCTTCTGTCCTAGCCTACGTGACCCGTAAGCTGTACTCTCTTCAAATGATCTGCTACTAAAAGCACATAAAACAATACAGCTTTTATGAGTTTCAGTGTTTCAGTGTCAGTTACATGTCTCTTCATGAACTGTATAGGAAACAGCTGATTGACTTGGATAGGTTAGATGCAACACAATCCTCTCCTTTTACAAGGTCCTTTACTAAACCCCTCTGCACAAGAGCAAGGAAGGTTTCTCAGGTGGAGTGGGTTGCATGTTAGTTAGAGTCAAAAAACGCCAAAATTGAGATGGAGAATTTTTGGATGTACCAGGTTGAGTATCATAAGAAAAATGTAAGTAGATATTCAAGGGAAAAAGGGATAGCTGTCAGTCTTTTACTGCTTCATGTAGAAAAAAAAATCTTAATTCCATTGATAGACCTCTGTGCCTAATAAGAGCGTGCATCATGTGACTTTACTGTGTTTGTTCTGACAACAACTTTGTTAGGCTTCTAAAACTTGTTTTGTTAATAACAAATGGCAGTGAAATAGTCACTAAGCCTTTATTTTAGACTTTGTTTAGAGCAGCTGTGCAAATTATCTATCCACTATGATCCATCAGACTATTTCTTGTTATTGTTGTGGCTGCATTCTTTCCTTGTACATTATATACAGTACCTCCAAAAATGCATTTTGATGTCAAAGAGAACTGAGTGTTAATTCTTCAAAGACTGGACTTTCCTGTACAAATGTTTTCAAGGACAGCTCTCATGTCCTGTCATGCAGCAGACTTTGTAAGATGTTTGATATTTGGGTTTGGTAGTTCTGGTTCTTGGTTTGGTTTTGGGCGGGGGGCAGTTGTTTGTTTGGTTGTTGCTGTTCAGGGGTTTTTCTCACCCAAAACACTTATTTGAGCAGACATTCAAACAGAGCATATAGAAAGGCATGTAATAACTTAGTTTTGATACTTCGTAGATAAAAGTACCTGAGTAAAAGTACTTATAGTGCTACTAGAGTAATTGCTAGTACATTTGAAGTGATATGCAATTTCTTAATGCTAATTGTCTGGTTTAAATAAAATCGTTAATCTTTATCCTTCAGTATGTGAATATGAGAGTTTTCAGCTATTGTAAAGAGCGCTTTTGTGTGTGTGCACGTACACATCTCATGTGTAACTTGATTTGTTTCTTGTTTAAAGCTGAATGCTACAATGTCTAGATGCCATTATTGTAATGATAGTATAATACACCTTTTAAATTTATTCCTAATACATAAATACTGCATAATAATAAAAATGTGAGCACCATGAAAACTCTTCCTTATGTAAATAGGAGTTGCTATTTGTGCAGTTGCCCTGTTGACTGGTAATTACACAGCAACTCAAGGGAGCCTGTATCTCTCCCACAGCCCCTGCTCACGTGCTCTGTATGGCAAGTAATTCTTCTGATTGTGCAACCACATCCAGCTTTCTGGAGATTGTTTCACAGCTGCATCTTCTTCTGTCTTGCAGTTGTGATGCAAAGTACAGGGAGATGCAGGGACTGCTCTTTAACACAGGAGATATCTGTAAAGAATTGCTTCTTAGCTCTTTGGAAGCATTTATTAGTTAACCATAATTATAATACTTAGTTATTAGCTGAGATAGAGGAATGTCTGTGAAGAGAAGGAAGTGGAGAAGGGAGTTATGTTTTCTTGTTTCATTTCATATCTAAGGGAGGCTAAGAGGAACTTAGATGTTTGGGGTTTTAGTTTTTCTTCCTGGTTTTGTTTTGTGGGGTTTTTATAGACTATTTCGTGGAACTGAATTTTTCAGCTGCAATAGATGCAGAGCATGAGGGTGGAGCTGCTGCCAGCTCAGGCCACTGGAAATTTATCCCTCTTCTGATAGGACTCATTGGCTCAGAGAAAAGCTATGTCATACTGTTTATGAAAAGATGAGAATAGCATTTGATTTGTTTTGCCATCAGTGATGAACTGTTGAGCTGGCTCAGCTAGAGCTGCATTCTTCCCATGTTAAAGGAGAGTGTAGAATGCCACGGCTATTGGGCTGAATACCCAGCTGTAGGTAAATGCTAAAATTCCCTTTTGAGGATTTCCATTTTGGCTTGGGCAGACATATTTTGTAGGTATCTCCTTAAAATCTGCCTCTAAAAATGCCTGCTGGGTTAAAGCTTTGTACTCTTTCATTTCAGTCACCTTCATTAATTCCACATTCTGTGTTCTTGAGTGTGTCTTAAGTGTCCTGGTATGAGGGTGTGTCACACCCTCATACCAGGACCCCCTGCTCTGTACTTCAGATACCTTGCTACAGCTTTTTCTCATCACCAGCATTCATTAGGAATTGTCTGTGATTAGAATATCCTTTCCGAGATCATTCTTCCCCTTTAACAAGATACTTGTTGGTCAATCACATAGACAGTTTCTCCACTGAATTGTTTATGGAAAAAGGAGAAGAATGAGGAAATCTGATCTAAAGAGCGTGTACTGAGCTGACAGCATGAAATGTTGAATATTTTCCAAGTCTTTACTGTACCTAGATTGAGGAATCGCAGTCCTTGATTATACTGGTATTGAATTGTCATTGAATATATTAATAAAATCTGAATACATCAATATTGTTCTGCACAGTTGATAAAAGTTGTTTTCTAAGATAGTGGAATAACCTTTATGGACAACTGCTGTGACCTTCCTCTGCTCAGATTAGATTAGTTTAGTACTTCAGGTTAATAATACCTGGGGGCCTGTGTGCTTATGGAGAAGTTTCAGTCTTTTATTCATTTCTCCCAGTTTGACAACTAAATAAACTTTAGCTGAATCCCTGTGTGCTGCTTAAGGTCAATTCACTTGTCTCCCATCACAGCTTACTCTTTAGTGACTTTAGCTTTTCTTTCTTAGAATGTCAGAGCATAGGATGTAGAAAATGAACATAGAATAATTTCTATATCGGGTGCTCACAATAACTTCTGATTTTCTTGCCATGTCTAGTCTCCATCTCCAGATTCCTCTTCACCTCGCGGTGCTGAATCATCAAGCAGACAACATCACCAGGATGCCTGCAGTACAGCAGAGGTTTCCACTAATAAAGAGGTGAAGTAAAACCTTTTTAAAGGCCACAGTCTGGTTCATGCTGCTTATGCCTTTTGATTTTCCTTGCTCCCTTGTACTTGTGCAATCCCTTTTCTTCTGTTTTTCTTTCCTTATGCTTCTTTACTTTATGTTTGCCCTGCTGTCTGACTGAATTTCTAACATACTGAAGACTTCTTGTCGTGGCATTTCTGACTCGGTGTTCAGCTGTCACTAAATTTGTTTAACAGGCTGCAGGGTACTGATTTACCAAACAGCCAACATCCCCTCTGTAGCAGAGACAAAACAAAGAAGCGTTTTTTTTTCCTTTTCCCCCCCCCCAACTAAGAAAGAGTACTTGTCAGCCAGATGAAAAAGTGCTTAAATTAAATTATTACGTAATAAATTATGCTGCTTAATATTTTGTCATTGTGGCCTGCAAGTGATTCTTAATCAGAATTCAGTTCCTGACTCCAAGCTTCTCAGAATAAAGCTACATAGTTTGGGGTTTTTCCCCTCATCTGGCTGCAGTACTTCCACCAAAACAAAATAAGTGTCAATAGAACTGCACATAGTGTAAAAAGAAATTAATTTGAAAAAAAGATTTGGATTTGGATAAAGTGGCAGGTTCTGTAAACAGAAAAATCTGCAAAAAATTTGGCTTATTTGCGTTTTTTTCATAAACTTGAAAGCAGTCTAGAAACTACCATAATAAAATGCCATATTGTTACTCATAGCAATGGATGAGTTATCTTCCAAAATTAAAAACCTGGTCTACTATAAGTGGATTAAAAATGAAACATAGATAATCCATTTGTTCCTTTTTACTTTTGAAATTATCAAGGGATAGAAAAGGTTGTAACATGTAATTGTGCCAGTCTGCATTTGCATTTACAAAATAATGAAAAATTTCAAAAGACTGAAGAAGCCCATAATTTTTCATATTCTGAAGTTTTCAACTATAGATCATGCCTTTAATTTTTCATCTGCTTTAATGTTAGCTTGTTAAAACCTTAAGTATTCTTCGCTACAGACTTTATCACTATGTATTTTATATTTTAGCTATTTTTAGGTATCAGTAAACTTCTCCAAAGAAAGAAAACAAACAAAACAATGTTTATTTCAATTGTTAAGATGTGCTTACATATAGTTACAGAGGTGGTAAACCAGGTTTCACTGTAGAATGTATTGGGTTATTAGTTTCCCTCAGATGGGGAATAATTCCCACTTTAGTATTTTTAATGCAAGAACAAAAGTGATAAAACAGCCTCATAGTTTCTGGATTTTTAGGTCTTAGAGAAACATTTTTATTAAATATAAATTTATAATAGCAGATGGCAACAAGATTATTGAAAGTAATAAAATATTAATGACCTTGACATTTCATTATTCATGGCTATGTAAAATTAAAAGGTGTAGGTTTCCACCTATTGGTAACTTTACCTGTTACTTTACTCTTCTAATGGTTTTTGTAGAATGCCTTTCTACCTGGGCAATGAACAAGAAAAATTATTTGTGAGTGAGAATAAAGACATACAGGATGGTGGTTAGCACCACTCTATCCTGAAAATAATTGCTAGTTAAGGGTGCTGAACAGTTGCTGAATCTGTATCAAAGATTTTGTTCACTGCTCAAAAAGAAGTAAATACTTTGTATAGTATTTATATATGTGAGCTGCCTCTCATTTGTAGGGGGTTTGTCCTCTAAGCCTGTCAGGCTTAGAGGACAAATCAGGGGTTTGAATGACCCCTTTAGTACTACATCAGCAACTATTACAAACAGTTCTTGGAGTCTATATGGATAGCTAGTCCAGTGGAAGCATTCATCTGAAGGGGTGAAAGAGCCACAGATGTGAAAAGGCGTGTCAGTGTCCTCACAGCAGCTTAAATGCGGTGGCAGCAGAAAACCATTAATTATTGACATCTTTATTTATGCTAGTACAGAACCTGATGGACAGGATTCTTGGATTCTCAGTTTAGTAATTTTCATAGGGAATGAAAAGAACTTAAAGCTTGCACAGGCTCAGTTGTCTGTGTCCCATGCCTTTTGTTTTTAATTCACAAATTTTATTTTATAGTAAGACATGCATAATTTTTAAAAATATTATTTGTCATATCAATTTTCCATATCTTACAAAGGAAAAGACTCCTTGGGGTTAAGTCAGTCAACCTGTTACATAACTGTCACCTTTCTAGTTTTACCTGAGTTTTCCATCAGTACACAGACCTTGGTAAGTTACCTGTTGCAAATAAAAATAATTTGGCATATATTTCTACGTATATAATCTGGAAATATACTTAAAATTATTGAAGGTTTTATGCATTATTCTGATCATGTGTATAGATTTTCTTTTAATTGAATGATAATAGGCAGTTATTGGAGGAGTTACTGCTAGTACAGTCAGTCATAGATTCATTAACTATCCACTTACCTGCCTATGATGGCAGCAGGTATTTCAGTATATCCATTAGAAATTATATAGTGCCACACCCAGTTTTGTTTGATAAATTTTTGTATGTGGTTTATGTTATTAATTAAACAAACTGGTGAATCTCACTCACTGGAAGTCGTGGTTGTCAGATATCTGAAGGGTTAGTCTCATGGTCTTTCACAGAAAATACCAGTAGGATGTATGGTATTACTTTAGTGTGTGTATTTACATGCACAAGTCAAGATTCTATTTATTCCTTCACTATTTATGTAATTGGTGCTACCAAATGTGTTTTTGTGCTCACCATCGTGTAAGCACAGTTGGTGCTGAGGTCATGGTGAATCCAGTTATCCCAGAGAACAGAGGCTTCTCTCTAACCTGTTAAAATCTAGGAAGCTTTTTTGTAGGCACTATTAATATGAGGGATACATCTAAAACCATTCCTAATGAATAACTGTATTTTGTTAATGATGGTTTCAGTCATGAATTATAACAGTAAAGTGCAGTTTTTATATTCCTGTGTGCATTTATCTGTCATTGGAAGATCCAGTATCTTTGAAGTATTATGTACTTTCCTCCATGTTTCTTGATTATTAAATGTAGTGTACTTATTGGTAGATAATTAATGCACTAGTGAAGACCAACAAGTAAGTGAAGTCTGGTCTTACCATATTTGGTCTACTAAATAGACACAAATGGAATACATTGAATTTACTCTAGAAGGTTCTTAGAGCTTGAAAATAATAAATGTAAATAATAATAAGTGGTTCTATCTTTACTAATAACTATGGCTAATTTAAGTTTGGGTTTTTTGGTACAGAGAAATTTTTAATGCATATTTGTGCATGCTATGTTCTGTTTGAAATCCTTTCTGTCTTAATTACAGTCCAGAAGAAGCTTGGCTTCATTTCCAACGTATGTTGAAGGTAAGATAGTTCTACGGTTTTTAAATGTTTTTTTCACATCAAAAAACCCACCTGTATTTATAATGTATAAAATTTTACTTTTATTTGCTGAATAGAAAAGCCACTAGGGTGGGATGTACTGATTTAGATTAAATTGTGTGTAATTTAGAACCTGAGCTAAATCCTACTGTGCTCCTTTAGAAATTCGGAAACATGGAGCTTTTAGTTTTTTGGTGTTTCATTTATTGTTTCTGTATCAGTTATGCTGTTTTTTTGTCCTCAGTATCACTTAAAACACTGCTTTCTTTATGGTATTTGCACAACACGTAAGAATGTGTGTGGACAAGCAAAACAGATTAAGCAAGAAGACTATAGTGCTCTGTCCAGCATTGATTTCAATTGGCAGGCTCAGTCTAATCTCAGCTGGATTTATGGGCAGGCCTGCCAGTGAAAATCTGCTTTGTTTAACAGCTGCTTGCCTCTTAATTAAATACTGCATCCCATGTCAGAGTTAAGGCTTCAGTAGTGCTGAATTTTTTCAGAACAATGTGAAAAAGCAAGTTACCTGCCACATGGACTGCTGTTACTTTTTGTATGAGTCTGCACCCTGTGTATACTGCAGGAGGAACACAAGTTGTGTGCAGTTATGACAGCAGCAGGAAATAGAAGGTGGTTTTTTTTTTTTTTTTTTTTTTTTTTTTTTTTCTTTTCCATTGACAGTGGTTGTTCCATGTGCTTGATGAAATTTTAGAAATACAGTTGATCTAATACTTTATTTGGACTTCCTCATCACTCCTTGGATTGCTTTACAGTGTACTGTGTTTAATTGATAATGTGATCATTTTCTTAAGACTGCAAATTGTTGTTTTAGTCTTCAGAGTGTAAGCTACCTGTTTTGGAGTCTCTGGCCAGAATGTCAGTTAGTTCATAGCTAAGCATTGGAATTTTGCAACAATGAAGAATCTCTCTTAGAATTTAAATTCATCTCCTGTTGATAGTCCTGTCTATCAAGGGATTTTATTCTATATATAGGAATATATAACTATATTTTAAAAGTAATTATCTCTGCCTTAGGGGGAAAAAAAAAATCTTACACTAAAATTTTCGTGGTGCTTGGTCCAGCACAAAATTCCTTAAAATTACAAATGTTCCATTTTTATGCACCAGCAGTCCCAGGAAAATTTGCCAGCCCCTATGCTATGTTTTTATTGAGGTAATAGTTTTATTGTCACAGATAATAAAAGGAGGAGGTATTCTAAAAAGAAACGCTGCCTGTGTGTTCACCTCTGATGCTATTGGAGCACATACCTTTTAAGGGCTTAATATGCACTTTCTTGGAGTCTTACACCTTTGCCCACTTTTTTTTTTTTTTCCCCATTTTGACTTCTACTATAAAAACGAGAAAAGAGATTGTACTATAAAAGATTTTGCACCTCTTTAGTATAGTGGTGGAAGTGGTGAAACGGCCTTGATATGTAGAGTAATAAATAGCAACATTAAAATGCTGTGTGATTTCTGTGTGAATATGTAGTACTTCCAGATGCATGAATTTCCCTAAGGAAATAACTCAATTTCTTTAGTTCATGTGCTTGCAAGTGACTGTTCATTTTGAGAATTTTTGAGATATGTACTGCCTGAGCAAACTGCACACTGGAGTTGGCATCTTAAAATTGCTTGTCATAAATTTTTGAATTTAAAAAAATTATAAGACAAGCCTGGTCACAACATTTGTATGTATGCTTCTCTCTGTTTATAGTTTCAGTGTGATACTTGCCTCCAGCTCTTTCTTTTTTATTTTAATCATAGTAATGACTTGCTTTTCCTTGAGGCCAAAGCTACCCATGATCATTCTGAGAGGTTGTTAGTCTTATATGTAATCATTAGAACAAAATTGGCATTCTTAGTAATTTGGAACTTAAAGCCCCATCACCTTAGAGTACAAGGTAGCCCTTGATTTTAGAGGAAAAAAGAAAGACAAACATAAATACAGGTGTTTTGTGATAAAATGTGAATGTACCATGAGCATTGTTTAATATGATTTATATTCCCACTTGTCTTGAACAACAATTGTTTTCCCATACTTCTAAGGAAGTTTCTTAAGTTAACCAGCCTCACTTTTGAATCAAGACAGTTTTAACATGGTGTCAAAATTGACCATTTTTATGTATAAATTTTTTAGATAAAGCTGCCAAATGCCAAAAATCTTACAAATCGTAAGTACTGCTTTGTCATGGTTTGCATTGCTTGGTTATGAGCACTTCACACCCCGTCACTTTCCACGGAAGTTGATGGGTGTTGGATCTCTAAGGATCTGTGGACTAATAGTGTTGCTTTGCCATCAAGAGAGCCCATGCTCTGTCTATTTAATAACGTTTTTATTTAACTGAGTACTTTACCACAGTATCCTTGTTAAGACTACTATTTTTAAAGGTCTGTGGCATAAAAATATTGTGGTATGTGTAGAGCATTCCAGGGAGATTGTTCTGCCTGTTGCACCAACTGTGGTTAATGCATAAGCAAGAAAGAGGCTGATGGCTGCTATGAAACTGCACCTTTCCTCTTTCTGCTTGTGACTGTTGGTTTAAGAATTGCAAGGCTGTTTTTGGTGGTTGAGGAGCAAGCAAGCTGAGTAACTGTATCTGTCCCTTTATCACAGTGAAAAATCAGAGATTATTTTGCTCCAAGCAGATCCCTGCTCACAAAAGAATGAGCTATTGTGAGAAACAGGCTGGATTAACAATTGTAGCTTTTGCTGGAGAGATGTTGTACTGGGTTTGTGAAGCAAGGTTTTGGTAGTGGGGTGGCTACAAGGGTGTCCTCTGTGAGAAGCTGCTGGAAGCTTCCTGCCTGTCTGATTAAGTCAGCACCAGCTGGCTCTAAGACAGACCCACCACTTGCCAAGGCTGAACCCATTAGTGACTGTGGTAGCACCTCTGGGATAATGTATTTAAGAAGGGGAAAAAGACTCTGCACCACAGCAACTGTAGCCAGAGAAGAAAGGGCTGGGAATGTGTAAAAGAAGGATCTCTGAAGACAAGGTCAGTGGAGTAGGAAGAACTGGAGGCGCTCCAGGTGCCAGAGCAGAGATTCCCATGCAGGCCATGGTGAAGACTATGGTGAGGCAGTTGTGCTCCTCCAGTCAATGGAGCTCCACAGTGGAACACATACCCACAAGCAACCCCTGGAGGACCCCATGCCAGATTATATGGATGCCCAAAAAAAGCAGGCTATGACCCTGTGGAAATCCAGGCTGGAGCAGGCTCCCCATAGAATATGTGGCCCAGTGGAGAGAGGAGCCCACCTGGAGCAGGCTTGTTGGCAGGACTTGTGACACCATAGGGAGCACGCCAGAGCAGTCTGTTCTGAAGGATTGTCTCCTGTGGGAGGTATCCCATTCTAGAGCAGAGGAAGGATGTGAGGCCTCTTCCCCATGATGAAGAAGGAGCATCAGAGACAGCACCTGAACTGACCACAGCCCCCATTCCTCTATACTTCTGGGTGCAGGAGATAAAGAAAATTGAAAGTAAAAGTGAGTCCAGGAAGAAGGGAGGGATAGGGGAAGGTGTTGTAGCATCTGTTTTTATTTTTCATTATTCTACTCTGACTTTTGTTAGTAATAGATGAAACAAGTTTCCACAAGTGGAGTCTGTTTTACCCACGACAGTAACTGATGAATGATCTCTACCTGTTCTTGTCTTGCCCCATGAGACTTTCATTATGTTTTCTCTCCCCTGCCCTTCTGAGGAGGGGAGCGATAGAAGGGGTTTGGTGGGCAGGGTCAACCCACCAGAGATTTTGATACAATTTGTTTGATGTTTTGTGCCTTTGAAAGTACTAGTTGCCTTTTTTTCATGCTAAACTGAAGTACTTCAGAGGAGGATTTGCAGCCATCAGGTGCAGACTCGAGTTGTCACAGTTCTGCTTTTGCTGTGTTTGACCATGATCGTCTTCAGTGATGGCTTTCCTGTATTACAGTTCCTGGACCTTGTGATCCTGAAGACTTAATTGATGGAATCATTTTTGCTGCCAATTACCTTGGTTCAACTCAACTCCTTTCTGATAAGACTCCATCCAAGAATGTGAGGATGATGCAGGCTCAGGAAGCTGTCAGCAGGATCAAGGTAAGGAGTAATTCCTGCTGCTTCTTGTATGGCTGTTTTATGATTGTGAATATGAGCTTCATTCTTATGCAGTAATTTTTTCAGATGGAGTTTTGTGTAGTTTCAGAATGAAAGGTGCCTCACCTTTCCTTTGCAAAATAAATTATATATGCTGCTTATGGAACACAACTTATAAGGGGATGTTACCAGGTCATTTTAATTCGCTATGGTAATACTTGTGCTACACTAAACCAGAATCTGAAGTGAGTGGTGGTCAAAGTTATATATTACTTGGGTCTGGAGGGAAAACAGGTTAAGGAAATAACTAGTAAGTATTGCTTCTGGCTTGGCACTCAATGGCACTGCTACTGTGGTATTGACTGCAGCTACTTTTGACCCTGTTGTGGACACTTGTTTCTCCACATGTAACAGCTGTGAGCTGATTTGAAAGGAAAAAAAAAAGAAAAAAAAAAAAAAGCTTGTGATGGTACAGAGAAGTGTGGAAAAAATAATTTGTTCTGGAATCTGAAAAATTTTGTTTTAGAAGAGACATTCCAACTGATTTCTGTACAGGCCACTTCCAGCAATGGTAATGCTGCTGTACTGTAAGTTACAATTATGACACTGTCAGCTGAAATTAAGGTGTGTGGATGAAGTATTGCACAGCTGTACAGGATGCTGCAACATTCCCTCTACCCATATGTGACTGGCTAGTAGGCACGCAGCTTCATCTTCTGCTAATTCACGAATCAACACAACCCACTCTGGGAATTTTTCTTAGTTTAATATCTGTGTGTTATTCTTTTGTATATTTTATTTTGGGTTCCAACTCAGATTTAGTGTGCAGTTATATAAAAGAGAGAGGAAGAGAAGAGAAGGTTATCAGCAAGACCAATAATATTGTCTGTTAAGGTCAGCTGGTGCTTCCTACTCCTTTTATTTCTTCCACTGCTTTCCGTGGCGGGTGTTCAGTTTAGTCTTTGTATATAACTTTGACACAGAAGCTCTAAATAGAGCCATTGAGACAACTTCTAAAAATTGTAATTTTGCTAGCGTTCAAATGCATAGGTTCTTGTAACCTTGTCTCTGAAAATCGTAAACACACTCACATTTTAGAAAAGGCAGGAATGTAGCCTACCTGTTAGAGATTATACTCCACCATCTCTGTAGAAGTCTTCACTACCTTGAACTACTGAACCTTTTGCAAAAGAGTGATTTATCTTTGTTCATTGGTGACTCTGGATTAAGTGACATTCTTTAAAAGTACATTTCATGCAGCTTTTTCAACAATGGCAGGTCTTGGTAAGTTCTCCCCTGACCTGCAGTGAAGAATTTTTCTTATGGAGTCTGTTTTTTTCCTGCTCTGGGCAAATAAGACTGTGTCCTTGTGTTTAGTAGTATCTTTGTGTTCCTTCTTGATGCTTGGCTGTGTGTTAGAAAACTTGTCTTATTTGAATGAATGGAAAACTAAAGGTAAGGTAAAGAAACAAGGGCTTTGGTGAGGCTGGATCTAGAAGAGACACGCCACTGGAGGGTGAAAGGAAAGATTAGCATCAGCTATCACAGGAAATAGGTATCAGGAGTGGAACTTGAATCACAGGGAGTTTGCACCAAGAAGGTAAAGCTTGTATAGGAATACACATTAGAAAAAAGGAGTGCAGTGTTGTGGTAGACAAAAACGAAACTGAATTGATTCAAACCAGGCCTAAGAGGTTTTAAGAGTATAGAATTTGTCTGATGCGAAATGTATTTTGTAGAAATTTGTTAACAAAATACTGTTCTGAAGATTCTGTTATGCCTCACCATTTCTTGTGCATCAAAACAGAAGAAATCTATTTAATGCATTTCACTCATTAATGCCATAATTTGTGCATCTATGTAAATCAGCAGGCATGCATATCCTTTCTTGTAGTGTATTTGCCTCAGGCTTGAGGCCCAAGTTATAGCATTTGTGACCTGGTAAAACCCTAGCTGCTGGATTGAATTTTATGAAACTTGACATATTTCAGAAAATTATTGACTTGTATTGTATTGTACACAATACCTTTGAAGACTTCTTGGACAGTTACTGCTTTCTGCTTCTAAGTAAAGCACAGACGATCCCCCTGCACCTTCTGGGCTTATTAGGATTGGCTTTGTCTGGTTTTGTTGCTGGTTGCCATTAAAGCTAAACGTTTTCAGAGAGAGATTCATTATGAGAGATGGACTTCCTGCTGCCAGATTCATCACTGTATCAGATATTCCATATCCCAGATGTATAAATGATGGCTTGCACAGTGACTATGAAGGCTGTGCCCTGCTCATGTTTATTTACAGAGTGCCATACTTGTTGCATGTCAACCAACATTTCTCCACTGTTGAAGAAAACAAAGCTTATGGATTAAGAATGAGCTTTTAAAATACACAGACATGAAGCTGAGTATTAAAAAGAGGTGAAGAGCTTTGTTTAAGCTCTGCTATTTATACCTTCACAAAAGTGTATACCATCTGAATTTAATAATACCTAAAGTGCTTCCTTTTAGCAGAGCCTCCAGACCACATATGCATTCATTTGGAATATGAACAGACTTTGAAAACAATTCTCCAGGCTTCTTCTTTAAAGAAATATCTTTTCAGTTCAAAGTTCAAGAGTTAGGTGTTTTCTTGCTCGGCCTTCATCCCTGTGAAGTCCAGCTAAGTTAAAACAGACACACTGCTTTGAAAGTGTTCATCAAATGTAGTTAGGAATATTTCATTAGGAGGCACTTTTAGCATGCTGTGGGGTAGGTTTGAACATTTCTAAGTAACACCTGGTTTAATTTCTGAGTGTAATTTAAGATAGAACCCATATGTGGATATTTAATTTAGTATTTCACACATTTTCACGCACTTAGTGTCCTCTCAGTGCTCACTGAGTTGCAAAACATTTTTTGTAGAGACTAAATGGATTGAATAAACTTAGGACCTCTCTGTAGCAAAAGCAGAAGCTTGTTGGGTTTTAATGAATTGTAATTTTGGAAATTGCATCTATATAAAGAAATACATTTAACTTACCTTAAATGAAAATCCTATATTATGTATATTAAAAAAAAAATAATTGTGTAGATTAGGTATGTTCCATTTGGTTTTCTTCTAGGAATACAGAAATAATCTTTGATTTGAGTTAGGAAAATAATGTCACGATAAAGAGAATTTGTCTAATAAAGTATCTTGAATAGATTTATCCTAATTTTTTTGTTGTTCATGGACCATATCTTATTTTGTGACATTTCCGTGCAGTGTTAAATCGCTTATTAAAAGTGCTTGATCCATATCATTGCCTTATTTTATGAAATATTTGAAAGTAGTTTTTCAATATGCTTCCATTTGAAGAACAGAATTTTCAGTATATTGAATTATAGTATATTTTGATAAATTGTTGATTCTGCATTGTAAAGTTGTAGCTCAAGGATTATTTTTTCCCCTTTTTCTTAATTTTGGCCTGTACTTTTCTTCTTTTGGGAGGTCCATCATTCTAAAGTTTGGGAAGTGTGAGAAAGAAAAGTTTGATTTTGGAAAAATATGTAAATGCTCTATCTCAGGAGTGTCTCCTCCTTGCCCATTGTATGACAGGCAGCTGATACTCAATATAAGTATATTATTTCTGAGTATTAATTTAAATTGAGAGTAATGTAATGAAAAGCCTGCCATGTAAAGCAGTTTTAATTGCTTTTGCAATAGTTTACAATCATCTGTTGTAAAACAACCTGTCAGGCTGTAAAATACTTCTTAATTTGAAAAAGGTGACTAAAAGCTATTTTGAGAATGTTTCTATTTGTAAATAAGCAGTGTGGCCTAAACTTTAAGTAGCTGCTTTCAGATTTGTTTGGACAAAACCTGACAGACTTAAGTTGTGAGCATCAGTATCAAAATGTTTGATGTGTCTCATGATTCAGGCCTCCTGTTTGCTCTTCGTAGAAGTAGCTAGTGCTGAATCTCTCTGGAGCTTGTAACAATAAGCCTCTTTCCCACCATGAGCACACCTGTAAATTTAATTAGCAAAGAGCCTGTTGCTGTTGAAAGTTAAGGGCTAATTGCCAGCCTGGTGAGTATTCCATTCCTTCAGTAAGCAGGTCTGTAAAGTTCAGTTCACCATTGGTTTGAATTCATGATTGCAAGACCATAAAAATTATGTTTGTTTGGGTTGTTAGTAGAAATGGCTTTTAAGGTGTTTCTGGATCTGAAATACATGCTCCACTGCTTGCTTCAAAAAATGTGATAGTGGACATAACTTTGTGTAGGTGTCACAGGAAAATTTGTTGACCAGTTCACTGTGTGAACATGGGTACTGATTTATTTGCTCAGGAGGAGAAAATGAAGGTGACAGTTACCTTCTGTCATTTAATTTTTCCAGGAAAAAGCAGCATAATTTAGGGAGGTTATTTTTTTGAAGTCCGATGAAGTATGAGATCTGAAAAAACTGTAATAATAAGGCATACAATTTTTCTCTCACCTTTTACATTGGTGTACCTTCAAAAGAAATAACTTCATGGTTTACACTGCTGTAAGTGAGGAGAAGCTCTGTTGTGTTTCTTATACCATCCTCTCCCCACCAAACCTCAAAAACAATTACACACAAAATAACCTTGTTTGTTGCAAGTAACAAAATTTTAAGTGAAAAAAAATCTTTTTGTGTTCTTCCTGACTCTTTTGGTGCTGTTTTTCATTTCTGAAATTAATTGTGCTAAACATGAAATCTTAAAATTTTTTAAGCTAAAAAGAAAAGGAGGAAATTAATCTAAGCAGGGACTAATTTAGACCAGCTAGTAGTCTATGAGCCCTGACATTAGTTTGTAGATTCCTGCTTGAGTTGGAGTCTCTGTAAGTTCTTCTCTAACTGTTCTCCTGTCTCTGTTTGTTCCATGCTAAGCAGATGGCCCAGAAATTAGCCAAAAGCAGGAAGAAGGTGCAGTACAAACTCCATCAGCTTGATGTTATGCTTGTTCTTTTGTTTTCTGGGAGAGTTTTTCCCTTTCTTTTTATTTTGTGGTTTTATTTTCTGCATCCAGCAAGGTTTTTTTCAGATTTATTTCTGAGCCACCATACAAGTTGACATATCTGGGAAATCAGTTGCCCGATTGGCCATTTTTTGTTGCTTCTCATTAGCCATTTCATGTTAGAAATAGAAGAAAGATTGGATTTATTAAATGGTTATGGGCAGTACCTAAAATGCATATTAGAGAATCAGGACTGACATGGCAAAGGTTTAAACATTGTAAAATGATGGATTAAAATGAAGTGTGGGGTGTTTTTTTTGTTTGTTTTGGGTTTTTCTACTTTTTTAAACTTCATAATTTTAATTTAATCTTTATGTAGGAGTGCTTTGTTTGACTCACAGAGATATCAAATTGCTGGATGCAAAAAAAAAAGTTTATGTCTATACATACAGTAATATACTGAGATGGACTCATCTTTGTAATAAGTTCTGTTTGTGGAGCTTTCAACTACTTTTTAACAAATGTAATTTAAAAAATATTACAAATGTCTGCTTTCTATTAACAAAACGTTACTTCTTAAGTGGGTTACTGCTTGAAAAGTATGTTGTCTGACTGTGAAGGTCTTCTTGCCAGAACTGCATTATGAATAGCTCAAACAGTACCTCCTGTGGTACAGGTTTTTCCATTGGTCTTGGCAACCACTGCTAGCCCAAACAGAAATTCCTCAGGCAGGAGATACTGTTAAGCCTTTCTATGGCTTGTATGAAAACCCTTTTTTGAGGTGGGATTCATAGTGTGCAGAAAATGGTAAAATCATACTACTTTTCAAGAAATCTTTATAGTTCATGTTACAGTCAGGTATAATTTTACTGAATTGGGAAAAATAGCAGGCAAGCTTTTATGAGGTTAAATTTTTTTTTCAAACAATACCCAATTCACTTTCACATATATGATATAGTTTCCACATCTTTGTGTTTATCTTTTGCTTCTGCAGTCTAATACTCTATCCTGCATTGCTGTTCTGGTGACTGTGTCTTAGTGTTCCCCTGTATGTGAGCTAGCATCATTATTAGTAAGTATGTTATCTAACGAGTTTGTTTGACTCTAAGCCATTTATTTGCAGGCTCCAGAAGGTGAATCTCAACCCATGACTGAAGTGGACCTCTTCATTTCTACACAGAGAATAAAAGTACTGAATGCAGACACACAGGTATAGATATAGACACCTTTGTTACTATTGTCGGAGTAGACTACTGGAATAGACTTTCCACATACATTAAAATTTGTCTTTAAAATGTGCTGGATCTTGTATTCCCCTCTAGGCAGAAATCCATGGTCAAGAGCCGTGTCATACAAGCAATTATTCTGGTGTGTCTGACTGTAGAAATAATTAGAATTTGTGGGTAAGATAATTGCAGTCAGCTTATGTCTTCTGAGCCATGCTGCATCAAGTATTGATTGTGCCCAGAGTAGCCCAAAATGTTTAGCTGCAGTAATTTGTTTATAGTCCTGTACACATACATGCCCAGCATATGCAGGTTCTGCAGTTGAGGTCTTGATGTCCTTTTCCACAGAAAAAAACCTGTAAAACTTTCTCTTTGTTTTATTTTTGGAAGGTGAAGCTCTTGGTTTCTATTTATATATATTTCTATTTATATATCTCCTTTCATGCATGACAGGTATTACAAACTTCACCTAGCAGAGGTCTTACAGCTATTTGTGTGTTTTGATAATACTAGATGTGCAATAAGAACTTAGTTGAAGCAGCTGCTTATGTTGGTTTTCTTATTCCCCAGGAGACCATGATGGATCATCCCCTGCGGACCATTTCTTACATTGCTGATATAGGAAATATAGTTGTTTTGATGGCTCGTAGACGAATGCCACGCTCTAACTCCCAGGATAATGTGGAAGCATCTCACCCCTCTCAAGATGGAAAGAGGCAGTACAAAATGATTTGCCATGTCTTTGAGTCTGAGGATGTAAGCAATTACATTGTCTTGTAGTTTTCTAGGAGTGGAAAAGTAAGCACTTTTTTTATAAGCCCAAAGTCCATTGTGAGTGGTCCTGTTTGCTTTTTAACTGCACCCAGTATTTCATCTAAGCAGAGGAACTTGCCTGCCACTTATATGTTTGGACATGGCATGTCATGGAAGTTGGTGTTTATAGAAATGCTTACTTTTTTATAGCTTCTTTAGTGCCTTCCAGTAACAGTGATAGGAGGGTCCAGTTGCTACAGTTTACAAATACCGGCTCAAATTTTGCATAAGAGAGGGAAAGTCTATCAGAGGTGCCTATTTTCATTGGGAAATTGTAATCCCAAGTCTTGCATTGAGGATCAGTCATTGACGCATACCAGAAAGGTGATTTTTTATTTTTCGGGTGGTTGGTGTAGGGGCTGTAGTTCCTGTCATCTTATCAAAAAGCCAGCAAAGAAAGTTTGTGATTTCAGCAATCCCAAAATATGCTGAATAGAGATACAAATTATTAGATTTTAATATATGGCACAGTTAAGGTACTTTACACAAGACTAAGTTGCCTTACACAGGACTTGATGTCCTGTCTTCACAATCACTGTGTGTAAATTGCTGATTTTATGTACTTCTTAAAAGTAACTTTCAGTTACTGGAAAGTAAAATCAAACATACTAGATTGAAGTGGTTAGATATGTAGTTTTTTAGGATCATAGTCAAGTTAGTCCTAATAATCTGGGAAACTAACATACTCAAGAGAAGTAAGTGAATATACCAGTTTCTTCCATGTCTTCCAAACTACAGTGAACAGCAAGGACTTTGAGATGGGAAGGTTTTCTTGAATAAGGAGCTGATTTTATGAATGATTTTATGTAATCTGTTCTAAACCTGTGTCTGAATAGATTATCTGATAGCACATGAATGTATATACATGACCCACTGCTGAAGTTAAAAAGTAAGGACGAGCAATGATAAAAGTAATCCTGGACTAAAATTGACAGAGTATAAAAATTCTGGATTATTTCCACAAAATAATATGTAAACCTGTTTTGCAAAGCCTTTTAAGAATCTGGTGTGAAATACAGTAGCCAATGTATTTTTTGCTTAATAACATTTGATATGCTACCCACTTTGAGGCTGCTGTTCCTGTGTTTCTAGTCACAAGTTTGAACACTGTTTGCTCTTTTACTGGCCAATTGAAAAAGCAGAAACCAAACTGTCAGGTGCCAGAGTCTGGGACTTATTTGCCTTCACCATGGGGTGGTCTGACGCTTTGCATGATCCATACTTCCCGGATCTGTTTCCTAGGCTGTTGTTAATACTTTGGCTAGCTAAAATTTGAGCTTCTAAATCTAAGGTTTGTTTGGGTCAGCCTGTATTTGTGTCATGTGTGATCCTTTCTATGCTTGTAAATCCAACTGGCTTGTAAAATGCCTGTAGATCCAATAAAAGCATTGCTCATTGATGGGGAAAATATACTGAGAAAATGCAGTTTGTATCAACTCTCCTTAGTCATGGTGTATAGCTCACAGGTAACTTGCCAAATTTATCTCAAATACTGAAGTGACTAACAGTCAGAATGGAAGGATTGTAGCACCTTGTTAGCAGCAATGAAATGGCAGCTTCAGAGATTTTGTACCACCAGTGAAGTCATATGGCCTGTTTATATTATAAAACTTGTCTTTTCTTCTTCTGGGACAGCTGGGTACTTGGCACAATCTATACAGTAAGTGAAACAGAAGCTGTAAGCCTGTGAGTGGGTGTTGGTCAGAACATGTCTCTGCTTGGATGAGTCTGTGTCTAAGGAGGACAGCGCCAGATTTTCAACTATTTAGAGGTGTACCTTTAAATGAGTTGAACTGATGGTTACTGATGTCTCCAAATGCCAGGTGTCTAAGTGGGAGCTGGTCTCTTCTTGGAGTGAAGACGCATGTGTATGAATGTAAAGTCTGCACTCTTCACTTCGGTTACTGAATTATGGAGGTGCAGTTTTCCCATTTTCTTGCTGTCCTTGCTGTCAAAGTTAGGTTGATCTTAGCTTTGGTAATATACTTCCAGTCTATATATTGGTCTTTTCAGCACCAGCAATCGTGCAGTCTCATCAGCAGGTTTAGTGCTAGTCTGAGCTGTGTAAGATACAGCAACATTTTTATTTCAGTGTTGGGAACCTTTTCTTTATTAGGAATCAAACTGGACTTTAAAAATGGCCATCAGACTGTATAAAAGTACACCTGAGCAGCATTCATTCATTACCAATACCCTGCCAGGCCTCCACTGTCAGCTGTGGAGCTCTCCATTTCTCTTCCCTACTTTTGCCACAGGCAGCACTGTGTTTCAATGCACATCACAGCCACCTCCTGTGCACTGCACAGTGCTCACTGCATGAATCTCTCCACCTATACACAGCAGTGCTCTGCACCATGCTGTGCTTTGCTCTCCTGCCCATTACTTGCCTAACCATGGTTACTGTGTCAAAAATGGGCATCCCTCTGGCCTTGCTTGGGACACAGCTTTCCCCACGTCTGCCTGCTGCCCAGTTTCAGTCCCACACCTGCAGAAATAAACCAGTTCATGGTGGGAGCAATGCAGTGTAGTGAGAGGTGCATTTGGTGGCTTTGGGTGCAGACAAGATGCTGGGAAGCTGCAGGTGCAAGAGGGTGCTCACAAAGGACAGAATGAGTAGGAAAGAGGCAGAGAACTGGCAGGATTGTGTGAGTTGGAAGGAGGGAAATAAGTGTAGGGGATAGAGGCTGAAGGTAGTAGCAGGATGAAGAAGGAGATGTATACAACCATTTGCAGTTACTTTAGGGTTTGATCTGGTCACTAGTTGCTGCCTTTTTCCTTTTTTGTCTGAGGCCGAGGTAGGAGTAGTCACTATCAATGTTGTAAAAGATGGTAGGAAAAGTTGAAAATACCCTTTTAAACGTGGTTGTGTGTTTCCTAGTAGACATTTTTGTTTTCACTGCTGGCTTGACAGAGAATGACATCGCCTCTGCTGAAAGGGAGAGCCATCTGAGAGCAGCATATGTGGGAAGAATTATAGGTGCAAGCCACAGTCACTGCAGTGGCTCTACCTTCACACTTAGATTAGCAGTTCTTGCCTGTGAAAGGATGTCTTTCTCATGTTTGTAATTTATAATTGCTTACTGAGCTGGATTCATGGCAGAGCCAAAGTGTTGAGATTTTGTGGGTCTTTAAAATTAATTTGTAAGGCACAAATATTTTTTAGACTGGATTGCGGTAACTTGTAGGTTCATCAACTTGATGATCCATTTTACAGTGTGATTGTAACAGAAAGTGTCAGTGGACATGACCATCAGAATGTTTCACTTTTTTCTTTTCTTCTCCCTTTTCTGGGAACTCTACAGGCGCAGCTGATTGCACAATCCATAGGTCAAGCATTTAGTGTGGCCTACCAAGAATTTCTGAGAGCAAATGGAATCAACCCAGAAGATCTTAGCCAGAAGGAATATAGCGACTTGCTTAATACCCAGGACATGTACAATGATGATCTGATTCACTTCTCCAAATCTGAAAATTGCAAAGATGTATGTCTTTTTTTTTCCCCCCCCACAAATATGCTCTTTATCAGTTGCAGGCCTGTGTTGGCAGAAACTAAAAAAACGTTAATACTTCCTGTAAATTATCTCAGTTAATCTAGAATATCCTCCCTAATAGGACACCCTGTCATCAGTTCTCTTTCAAAGGCAAACAGTGAACCCCAAATTTATCAGCAGTCAGCTGATTAACCATCTGTTTCTGTTCTTTTTACCAAACAATTTTCATACATGTTTGAAAGCGAATTTAAATTAGATTAAATGATTAATACAATTTTAAAAATTACAGTGAACAACATAAAATTCATAGAAGCACTGGTGTTTATGAACATGATTGATTCCAGGTTTTAAATAATTGTATGTGCCAGAAGGCTTTGCAGCTTGCTTAATAAAAACAAACCACTGTGCAACTTGAATGCACAGGTAGTGTTTTTCCAGTGCAAAGTTGTAAAGTCTTGCAGTCTTTTCTTATTTAGCTTTGTCCACCGAAGCCCATGGCACCAGGGTTTCCTTCACTGGAATTTCTTCTTTTCATAAACAGAAATTGCTTCTGAGGGGTGTTCAGCACGAAGTCTGTATTGTGTGTCATTTAATGTTTGAATGCAAATGAAAGGTAGTAAAACATGTACCCTATCTTGATTGCCTTTGAATTAGGAGGGCAGGTTGCAAGTGAAGAGGGGTATATTTGTTGGCTTTGTGAATGTTCGGAGCAGGATGATATTAGTTTATGGATGTGAAAGAAACTTTTTTAAAACATTTTTTTCTTACTATACAGGTTTACATTGAAAAGCAAAAGGGAGAAATTCTAGGTGTGGTGATTGTGGAGTCTGGCTGGGGATCCATTTTGCCTACAGTTATCATAGCCAACATGATGCATGGAGGACCAGCAGAGAAGTCTGGGAAGCTGAATATAGGGGACCAGATCATGTCAATCAATGGGACCAGCTTGGTTGGTTTACCACTCTCAACATGTCAGAGCATTATAAAGGTAGGGAAAATGTTTCTGGAAGCTACACATTTAAAAATTATGAGCAAAAAGTATAAAACTGAAGTAAATTCTTACCAAATGTTTGCATAGCACTTGCCATTTCATGATCTGAAAAAATAGTGTGAATTATGCTACACCCATTTTCTGACTCCCCACAGGACCACAGAATGGGTAAGGTTGGGACCACTGGAAGTAGTCTAATCCAACCTCCCTGCTCCAGCAGGGTTGCCTAGAGCATCTTAGTCAAGCTTGTGTGTCAGTGGCTTTTGAGTATCTCCAGAGAATGGGACTCCAGAGCTTTTCTGAAAATCTGTTCCTATGCTCAGTCTCCCTCACAGGAAAGAAATTCTTCCTCATGTTCAGGTGAAACTTCCTGCATTCCAGTGTTGGCCCTTTGCCTTTCATTCTATTGCTCAGCACCACTAAAAAGAGCCTGACTGTATCCTCTTGACATCCTCCTGTCAGATACTTACATCGATGAGGTCCCCTCTCAGTTTTCTCTTCTCAGTGCTGAACAGGGCCAGCTCCCTCAGCCTTTCACAGAACTGTGGCATTTTTTAGATTAGAAAAGATCTCCAAGATCATTAAGTCCACCTGTAAACCTTTTCCTCCCAAGTGAAGTGCTCCAATACCCTAATGATAGCCCTCAACAGGACCTGCCTGCTCCAGGAGCTCCATGTCCCTGTTGTGCTGGGGAGCCCAGAACTGGACACAGCACTCCAGATGTGCCTCACCAGGGCTGAACAGAGGGACACGATCACCTCCCTTGAGCTGCTGGCAGTGCTCTTCCTGATGCACCCCTCAATAACATCAGCCTTCTTGGCTACAAGAGCACTGCTGGCTCATGGACAACTTGTGCTGGCGCCTGGGATTATTCCTCTGCAGGTGCATTTGCCCTTGTTTAATTTCAGAAGGTTCCTTTCTGCCCACCCCTCCTGCTTGTCAAGGTCCTTCTGAAGGGTTGCATAGCGCTTGGGTATCGGCCACTCCTCCCAGCTTTTGTGTCATCAGTGAGCTTGCTGAGGAGGCCTTTCATCTCTGATGGTAAGTTAAATGAGATTGGGCCCACCAGTATTGAAGTTTGGGAGACACTGCTATGCACAGGCATCCAAATAGACCTGTGCCACCGATCCCAACCCTCCAAGCTCTCATTCAGCCAGTTCTAAATCCACCTCACCACCTGCTTCCTGGGCCTGGCTATGAGGTTATCCTGAGAGACAGCATCAAAAGTCTTGATCAACTGCAGAATGACAACATCCAGTGCCATTCCAGACTGCTGTGCTATTTACTTGTGTACCAGGGCTCTGTGCACAGCTTCACAAGGGAATATTTTGTGCAGAAGGAAGATATTACCAGGTACACACTTGAAATTGTATATCACAAATGGAGGCATAGGTGCCTAATATTAACCTTACTAGCTGTCAAATACCTCTTAATATTTGGATGAAATGAAGCAAGTGCTTTTTTGTCTGTTTGTTTATACCTATTTTTAAGGCTTTAAAACTTTGGCTTAAAGACATACCCTCTGTGGCATCTTTGCCCAAGTTATTCCAAAGTGCTTCTTGTATTTGGTCCTTCTCTTCACTTGCCTAAATTAGGCATTTTAACTGGAAGAGCTTTCTTCTAGTTGTCAGAAAAGTAAGTGACAGTGAAAAGCTTGCAGGTCATTTGGAATTGAACAGTGCCTGAGGCAGCTGTAGCATATAAAGGAATAAGTATTTCAGCATCAGTGTTTAAAGAGCAGGAAAGATGCATTGCTAGAGAGTGTTTGAGAGAAAGTTCATTAGTTATTTATTAGCTATTTATTGAAATTAGTTATTTGTTGAAATGGTCCTGCCTTGCTCTGGATGTCATCACATGCAGACACATGATGTAATGCTGGTGGTACATTATACAGACATTCTTCCCCGATTTTTAGAAATGTACCTGTTAGACTTATGCATTTAGGCAACTTTTTGATAACAAGTTGTATTATGTAGCTTTTTTCTTTCACTTTGTATTTTTTTTAATTGCAAAGTAAATTACCATTTATAAGGTAAATTTGCAAAGGTAAAAAAAGTACAAAGTAATTTTTTTTTTTTTTCTTCAGGGATTATCTCTTAATACTTTAACTGAGATGTTTGTTATAAAGACTTTCCATTCAGGCTTCCCAAAATGTTAATACTGAGTTCTGATAAGTAATAGATGCATAAGTCACCGAACAAGTAATTTTAGATTCAGTGAGTAGAAATGATAGCATGTGTGACAAACTGAAAGTATGGCAAAAACGGGCTTACATTTGTGAAGAAAGGAAGAAGAAAAATCATATTTAATATCTTTGTGCCAGCATCAGCAGAACAAAATCCCCTGCAAATTTAGGCTCTTTGTGATTGCTTCCTATCCCACATCATTTTTATTTCTAAAACTGTGATAAGTTATACTTCCCTTATGCAGATGGAGATTTTGTTGTGCTCATCAGTACTTTCTCAATACAGAACCAACCAGCTTTGCTGTTTCTAGCTTCTGCAGGCCTCTCTCGTCTTCCCTGATACTTACCACAGTTTCCACAGGAACTGCCAGCCTTTTTTTCTGTCTTTCTAAAGAGACGATAATCTGTATGTTTGCAGATCTTCATAACCACACATCTGGAGTTATTCATATAGCTCTTTTGGAAACAAGTATGTATATGAATGATCTAAGTGCAGATGATTAAATGGTGTAGAAATATGCCAGATTTCAGATTTCCTTAGTATGCTGGAAGGATTCTTATGAAAAGATGATAATATTATGTGGATAAACATATGTCACAAGCGCTTCAAACAAGATAATTCAGTATTATGGATGTAATCTCTGCTCCTAATTTACCATAAACCAGTTGTAAACTGATGGAGCTTGGAAGAAGCTTTCCATGTGTTGTGGCTATTCCCTAATAGGATTATGCTACTGCTGTCTTTTTCAGAAGCATCTGGTACTGGCTACTATCAGAAGTATACTCAGGAATTAGATAAACAAAGAAAGGTCGTCAAAATACAATTTTTTTTGTTACTGAATCAGTTTACATTACCTGTCTGTATACTACTGAAGATTACCCACTTCTGCAATATATGCACTTTTTGTAAAAAAAAAGGGTTTTTCATTAGGGACCACATTATTTTTTTTTCCACAGGGAATACATGTAAGTAACTTGCACATTCATCAGGAAAGTAAGGACATGATGATATCAGATTTATTCTGGGCATGTACCCTGAGTGAATTCAGATGACTGAAGTTAGACACTTAAATTCCTCATAGAAATGGGTATTCCCATACTCTGTATGACTCCTACCTTTCAGGATTAGAACGCTGAGTCAAAAGCCCCTTAGACTTTTCCACAAACATCATGCCCACAGTGTGGTTCAGGTTGAGAAGTCCCTGTTCTCTACAGTATGTGGTGTTGTCAAGACCTGCCTGTAGAAAGTGAATGGCCCTTGAGCATGTGAGGTGCACTTCTAATTCCTCACCGGAGTAGAGGAGTCCATAGCCATGGAAGAGGTGGAGTTCAGACCTTCTTCCTCCTGAGTGTGGAGTACAGGCAGTTCCACAGCCATGAGCTTTGTCATTTTGTGGTCAGACACCCGTTCATTGTCTTGCAGCAACTTTCAAGAATGAGCTAAGCTGAGCTCAGCACTATTTGAACAACTGTTTGCACCCAGTGTTGGTTACATCCAGTGTAAGGCACTGACAAAAAAACCAGACTTCAAGGTAGTTCATCATGCCAGGATGCCAGTTTAGATACTCAAGTCACTGCTGGATCTGGAGCTCAGCTCAACAGAATCAGCAGCAGTAAACTGTATGTAGAGACTTCAGTATATTACCTTAGCTACAGTAGAAACTACTTTCCAGAATTAATCATTTGAAGTCAGCGTCTGACACCTTGATTGCAGTGAGACCTAGATTTCATAGGTTGTACCTATGAAAGGAATTCAGAAGCAGATGCTGGAACTGGCAGGTGTTTAATTAAGTGAGCTGAAAGTTGCTGTATTTTTTAGAAAGCATTTCATCCTTTATGTGGATTTTATTTGTGAACAGATTTAGGGCTTATATTTTGTGTGAATTAAGCATTTCAAAAATCTCTCTTAGCAATCTCCAAGAGCTCTGAGTACTTAAAGTTGTACAAGGGGTCAAGGTGGCATTTATTTGTGGTTTATTACATTTTTGTTTTCACAGAGCCTTATGAACACAATCTCTGGGTTTGGCAGTCACTGCTGTAACTGGTCTAGACCAACATTTTGGTTCAAAGTAGAGCAGACTTCTTAAGGCTGTGCCTACTGGGATTTAAATAACTCCAAGACTGGATACTCCACAGCCTCCCTGAGTAATATGTGTTTTACCACCCTGACAATAAAAATAAATTTTTCTCATTCAATATTCTTCTAGTAGCAAGGAGTTCATGGTGGATGTGATATAATTCAGTTGGAAGAGAGGAAGAGTACTTGGCATGTATCACGTTCTGTCTTGGGGAAGATGGTGAGTGAGTAGATAGTTTAAAGGTTAGGATAAAAGTGCAGACAGCTAAGGGTGACACTTGTGGGTGTGTGCTACAGGATGCCTCATCAAGAGGTGGATGAGCCCTTCTACAGACAGCTCAAATCAGCCTTGATGTCACAGGCCCTGGTTCTTGTGGGGGACTTAAACTATCCTGACATCTTCTGGAGAAGCTACACAGAAAAGCACAAACAATCCAGGTGGTTCCTGGAGAGCACTGGTGAGATCTTCCTGTCACAGATGGTGGAGGATCCTTCAAGAAATGGGTGTGCTGCATGACCTCATCCAGCAAACAGGAAAGAGCTTGTTGGAGGTGTGAAGACTGGGGCCAGCCTGTGAGCAAGTAAGATTGTAACCATGGTATTCAGGAGAGCTTATTTTGGCCTCTGTCGGGATGTTGACAGTATCCCATGGGAAGAGGTTCTACAGAGAAGGTTGATACTCAAGGATCACTTACTCCAAGCTCAAGAACTATGTATCCTAATGTGCAAGAAGTCAGACGAGGGGTCAAGAGACCTGCCTGGATAAATGAAGAACTCCTGTCATTACTCAAGCATAAGTAGGAGATACACAGGAGATGGAAGCAGGGTCAGGCCTCTTGGAATTCATATAGAGAGGTTGTCAGACTGAGGAGAGATGAGACAAGGAAGACCAAGGCCCATTTAGAATTAAATCTGACTGAGGATGTCAAAGAAAAGAAGAGGCTTCTTCAAGGGCTTCTTCAAATATATCAACAACAAAAGGAAAACAAAGGATAAAGTGGACCTATTACTAAATGGAGGGGGCACCCTGGTGGCAGAGGACACACAAGGCAGAGTTACTGAACAGTGCCTTTGGATTGGTGTTTGCTGTCAAGACCAACCCTCAGAAATCTCTGACCCAGGAAATGAGGGTAAAGGACTGTTGGAAGGAATATTTTCCTGTTGTCAAAGAGAATTGAGTTAGAGAACACCTAGGCAAACTCAAAATCCACACATCTATGGGCCCTGATACAATGCATCCATGAGTGCTGAGAGAGCTGGCAAACACCATAGTAAGGGTCCTGGCCGTCATCTTTGAAAGTTCATGGCACTCTGTGGACTGGAGAAAAGCAAATGTCACCCTGGTCTTCAAAAAGGGCAAGAAAAAGAACCAGAGAACTACTGTCCAGTCAGCCTCACCTTAATCCCTGGGAAAGTGATGGGACACCTTTTTCTGGAGGCCGTCTCTGTCCACATGAATGACAATAAGGTGATCAGCAGTAGTCAGCATGGATTCACTGAAGGTAAATCATGCCTCATTAAAATAATTGCCTTCTATGGAAGAACAGCTACCTGAATGGATGAGGGTAGAGCAGTGGATGTTCAGCCTTTGCAAGGTTTTTGTCTCAACATCCTTGTAGGCACACTCAGGGAGCGTGGACTGGTGGATAATAAGGTGGATACAGAATTGGCTGAATGTCAGTGACACAGGGTCAGGTTGGAGGCCTCTAGGCAGCATTGTCCTCAGGGTTCAATACTGGTGCAGTATTTTTTGAGTCAGTCATCAATGTCTTCAGTGAAGGGGCAGAGGCCTCCTCAGCAAGTTCCTTGATGACTCCAAGCTGGAAGGAGTGGCCGACACCCAAGTGTTGTGCAGCACTTCAGAGGGTCCTCAACAGGCAGGAGAGATGGGCAGAGAGGAGCCTTATGACATTCAGCAAATGCAAGATCGTGCATTGGGGAGAAACCACTCCATGCACCAGGGAGGACTGGGGGCTGACCTGCTGGGGAACTGCTCTGTGGAAAAGGACCTGGGGATCCTGGTGGATAAGTTGTCCATGAGCCAGCAGTGTGTCTGTGTGGCCAAGAAGGGCAGTGGTGTCCTGGGGTGCATCAGGAAGAGCACTGCCAGCAGCTCGAGGGAGGTGATTGTGCCCCTCTGCTCAGCCCTGGTGAGGCACATCTGGAGTGCTGTGTCCAGTTCTGGGCTCCTCAGCACAACAGGGACACGGAGCTTCTGGAATGGGTCCAGGGGAGGGGGACAAAGATGGTGAAGGGTCCAAAGCATCTGTCTTACGAGGAAAGGCTGAGGGAGTTGGGCCTGTTCAACCTCAAGAAGAGAGAACTGAGAGGCAATCTCATCAGTGTAAGTATCTGCAGGGAGGATGCCAAGAGGGTGGAGCCAGGCTCTTCTTGGTGGTGCTGAGCAGTAGGACAAGGGGCAACGGGCAGAAACTGATGCACACAAAGTTCCATGAGAACATAAAGGAATAACTAGTGTAGGTGACCATGCACTGGAACAGATTGCCCAGGGAGGCTATGGAGTGTCCCTCACTGGAGATATTCAGGAACCATCTGGACACAATTCTGTGCCATGTACTCTGAGATGACCCAGCTTGAGCAGAGAGGTTGGACCAGATGACCCACAGTGGTCCCTTCCAACTGTACCCATCTTGTGATTCTGTGAATAATGGAAACTGTGTGAGCACTGCTTATGCAAGGATGATGCAAGGGGACCTACTATTTGCTTGACAGAGTTTAGTATATTTCATTAGGGAAGCAACTGTTTGGTAACTAACTTAGCTACTTACTTAAAAGTCATTGGTCATTTGGTGAGCTGCATAGATGTGTGTTTTAATACTCATTTTATGCATGATTTCTGTTATCAAATGAAGAAACTGCCAACAGGAATCTAGTTTTCCTAAAACAGCTATTTGTGCCAGATTTTTGGCAAGAAAAATTTGATGTTTTATCACTCATCTCAATGAATATTCTGTTGCTTGTGTCTGGCATTCAGTGATCAGATTCTGGTACAATGCATACAAAGATCTATTTATTCAAGGCTGCTCCCATGTCAGCATTCTAACACCATATTATTTTTTCCATTCATGTTACATGTTTAACTCTCAGTTTGGTATTTTTTTTTCAGGGTTTGAAAAACCAGGCCCGGGTTAAACTGAACATAGTTAGATGCCCTCCAGTAACGACAGTCTTGATCAGAAGACCAGACCTCAGATATCAGTTGGGCTTCAGTGTGCAGAATGGGATCGTAAGTAGCTTCCATTGTTTCTGATCAAGCTTTAACACACATGAAACTTCCTCTCTATTTGTGGTTAAGTTTCAGTGTGAGAAGAGGGAAGCTGCTATTTTCTCCCTTACAGCAAACAGGATTTTGCATTTGGGAAATCTGAGATATAAAAGTTGTGTTAATAAGAGGTTTTGTCTTTGACTCTACTTCACAAATTTACAGTCAGAGGAATAAAAAAGTTATTTCAGCTTAAAAAACCAAAAACATGTGGAAGAGTCTGCTTTCAGCATGCTGCATCATACATGTCTTTAACCAAGCCATTGCATGATCTCAAAAGCAAAAGCGTGTTCTTGATCCTTTTTGTTGTAAGACATCTGCCTAATGAACATCATTAAATTGAGGTTCTTCATACATTCAGATTTCCAAACTACAAGACATGTAATGTACAACAGAAAGCCTTTTCTGACAGTTTGTTCTGCTCTTGGAAGAGAATATCCATTAGCTACTTGTTACTAATTTTGCTTTTACTAAATTTTGCTTTTGAGTCAGTGATTGATTGCACCTTAGAATTTGCTGTTGCAAGTCTGTGTTTAAATGTTGATTCATATATTGCAGGCAAAAAATGGGATGTTCCTTATCCAGCCCATGATAAATTTGTGCTCTCCCTTCCAGATCTGTAGCCTTATGAGAGGAGGCATAGCAGAGCGAGGAGGTGTGCGTGTTGGCCATCGGATCATTGAAATCAATGGGCAGAGCGTTGTAGCAACACCCCATGAGAAGATTGTTCACATTCTCTCAAATGCTGTTGGTGAGGTAAGAACCAGCAATGTGTCTAGGCAGTATAGCAGAGTTCATTGCTGTTACCAGTAACAACCAGTGGAAACCAGTAACAAGCAGTGTCCTTCAAGGGACTGTACTGGGACCAGCACTCTGTCTGTCATGTCTTCATCAGTGACACAGACAATGGGATTGAGTTGCACTCTCAGCAAGTTTGAAGGTGACATCAAGATCAGTGGTGCTTAAGGAAAGGGATGCCATTAGAGGGACCTAACAGGCTAGAAAAGTGGCCCATGTAACCTTTGTGAAGTTCTACAAGACCAAGTGCAAGGTTCTGCCTCTGGGTCTGGGCAGTCTCCAACATCAAGAGAGACTGGGGCTAAAGGGATTGGGAACAGCCCTGAAGAGAGGAACTTGGTGGAAGGAAAATTGGACATGAGCCAGGAATTGACACTTGAAACCCAAAAAGCCAGCTGTATCCTGGACTGCATCAAAACCAGTGTGGCTAACAGGGGGGTGATTTTCTGCTCTTGTGAGACCCCACCTGGAGTGATGTGTGCGGTTCTGGGGCCCTCAACATAAACAAATAAACCTGCTTGAGCAGATACAGATGCAGGCCATGGAAAGGGTGAGAGGGCTGGAGCACCTCCCCTGTGAGAAAAGGGTGAGAGAAGTTTGGTTGTTCAGCCTGGAGAAGGCTCCAGTGAGACCTGACAGCAGCCTTTCAATGTGTAAAGAAGGCTTCCAAGAAAAATGAAGAGAGGCTTTTACCAGGGTCTCCAGTGCAGAACAATAGGCAATGGTTTTAAACTGAAAGAGGATAGATTTAGATCAAGCGTAGGAAGAAATCCTTCACTATAAGGTTGGCGAGCCACTGGAACAGATTGCCCGGAGAAGTTGTGGATGCCTCATCCTTGGAAGTGTGTCAGGCCAGGTTGGATAGGGCTCTAAGCAACCTCTTCTAGTAAAAAACCTCCAACAGGGCAGTTTGTACTAGATGATTTTGAAAGGTCCCTTCCAATTCAAAGTTCCATAATTCTGTGGTTCTACCTCTATTGGCCCGTTGCTAATCAAATCCAAAAAGCTGAAGTGAGAGCAAGCCTGTACACCATTTCTTTCATTATTTGTCCCATACTTCTATGCTTTAGAAGAACCATACCTTGAAAATATGATGTGAACAAATTTAGATGGTTCATCAATACTAAACATATTGTTTCATAAAATCATCACCTGCAATAGTTTAATAAGGGTATGAAAACTCTCAAATTTTACCTTTTGTCCTGCCTTGTATGACCTTATCTGGGTCCTTCGTGTGAGGTATGCATTTTTAGGAAAACAATTAATTTGGCTTATTTCCTCTAGATCCATATGAAGACTATGCCAGCTGCCATGTACAGACTGTTGACTGCACAAGAGCAACCAGTTTACATCTGAAGCTGACACCTCACCACCACAGTGTGCATGGAAGATGTTTTTCCTCATTAGTGCTTGTCTCTCTAGTGGTGCATTTCTGTGTCTGTGAAGACATTTCTTTCTCTCTCTCCCCGCCATCACAGATACAAATACACTGTTGCTCTCTCCTTCATCCCTTTTTCCTCTTCTTCCCCCCATTTTCCTGCATTTTGTTAAGGGGCAAAATGTATCTGTGGAACTATTTTGGTTGTGTCTTTTTACAAGTGAAACTTCATACAGTTCCACATGCAAAACAGGAAAATAACAGCAGCACAGTTTACAGCAGTATTCACAGATGGATCTGTTTCATGCTACATAATCAGGTTTATTTCTGTGGCTGTAATTTTACAAACTGAGTAAATTAAATGTTGCTGAATGAAAAATTACTTTACCAAATAGATAGAAGTATAGGGTAAAAGGTGTTCTCTTGGATATCCTGCCTGTGACTTTGCTTCTCTTGCCCTGTTTTCTCACAGGCACCAAGCTCAGTAATAAAGGTTTGTGTCTGTGGGGAAAGTAGAATACCAAAAGGATTATTTTGCCCTCAGGAAAAATTGCCTGCTTATGAAGACTCAGTAAATGCTGCTGTTGTAAAATGAATTGTCCAAATACACACCTTTTAATTCCCCTCTGTCTTCAGTTCTTCATGATAGTAGGACTCCAAAAGATACTCCATCAATTGCTAAAACATGTTATTCTTGCATTACTTACACTAAGAAATTTGGGAGGCATTTTTTACAGCTGCCTCCCCCTCTCTGCCCCCAGGTTTCTATCTCCTAGTTTTCTTCAGCTTTGTGTTTCATAGTTCCTTCCTGATTTTAGAGGTTAAAGAAGTGGGGGGGGAAATCTTTAAATAGCCACAAGAAAAATATTGAGGGGATCTGCTGAATAGCTACACTTTTTCTAGGCTCTTAATTCTGATTTTGGTGCACATAGCCATGTGTGCCAGTGTATATAGACATTTTTAAAATTGTGCTTCCTATTTATGAAGTTTGAATATAAGAGATCTGCAGACTATTCTCAGTAATTTTGTTCTCTGAGCCAGTTTTAACATATATTTTTGTCCAAAGACCTGTCTAATTTTATTGACTTCCTGTTTAGTTCATGATATAGGTAACAGATGAAAGGATGAGGCAGGAATAAACTTATTTATTTTGTTATATAATTTAGCTTGTGATTTTTTCCCATATGTATGGCACTTACAAGAGATATGTGTGTACTATATGCACTTGTATGAAGATGATTAACTGTAGGGATGTATGAAATCTTGTATTTGATTAGCCTCTAAGTTGCATGCTAGAGACAAAAGGGGAAAAGGGGGCTGGGTTGGGTTCTTTGGTTTTTTCAAGAGGGTTCAAAATAAAGAAGAAGCAGTGTCTTTTCTTCCTAGTGAGAGAATTCCACATTCTCTGTAGTTACTTTTTTTCAGGACTGTATACTGGTGTTTATACTGAAGTTGAACCATGCATTTAGTCCAGGCTAGTATGTTGATTTCTTTTAAACAAACAGTTTGTGCTGTGTTTTGCTGTGATGGAAAGGCTCAGTGAGATAAAAAGCAGACAACACAAGAGCAGACAACACACAGCCACACGCCACTTCTGCTTTGCAAATGCGGTGTTGTTCATAGTCACTTGTGTCTCACTTGTTGTGACGTGAGCTGTGCAATGTAAGCGTTGCTTGCAGTCCAGTGATGATCCTAGACATTGCTATGGGGATTTATGGAAGTGGGTGTGTGCATGTGCACTTGTTGCAAACACTGCTGAGAACCACTGAGCACTCTTGTCAGGGGTCCATTTTTTGGCTTTCTAAAGTCACGGATAACTACGGCCTGATCAGAGTTAAGAGGATGAACTGTATTTCTGTGGGAAGCAGATATTTAAGGGACATAATGAAGTGGTGCATAAACTGTTGTAGTAAGGGGATATGTTTTAGTGTTGAGATTAATGTACAATGACTTGATTTTACTGCATTTCTTGTTGTTATATAATTTAATCCAAGGCTTCAGAATAGCGGATTGCACAAGAAAATGGTGTTAGTATTCCAGGTTAGTACTTAACTCTGCTGCCTCACTGATGCAACAAGATAATTAATGGCTTGTGAGTATATTGTTTAACTGTAGACATCTGGTTTATGGTAATTTGAACCTTTTTTCTAGAACTTTCCATATATACAGTAATAAATGTAAATATGGTATATAACCATGTACAATTTAGATTATATACAGTGCAGCCTTTCCATAAATTGCCTGAAGAAACTTAGTGAACTCTTGAAGACACAGTTGTCATGCTTCTGGTTCCTGCTATGTGTATGCCCTCCACTTCACTTGTTTCCCCATGTCTAGCCCATGTGGTGAAGTCTTTAGCTCACTTCACAGGGAAATGAGGAAATTCTGAACATGCAAATGTATTAAGAGAAGAAACAACTGTTTCTCTGGAAATCTTGCAGCTGGGGGTTTGTGAAGTTACTGTTAATCCTAAATAGGTGCTTAAAATTAAGCAAATGAATGCTTGCAGGACCAGAGCTTAGCAAAAAAAATCTCATTTTTTCAGTTACAGTATGTGCATAAGATTTCTAAACTGAGAGGTCCATAGTGTGTGCACACTTCTGAGAACAGTCTTGTAAACAATCCCATTTTACTCTGTAAACAGAGAGTTTCAAGAAAATGGAACTCAAATGGGAAAGCTGGCTGTTCTCTAGACTGTTGCAGCGGTTTGATAGATCAGATATGGGGATTTTTAACAGATGCAAAGGAACATTCCTTCAAAGGTTTACATTCCTTCTTCAGTGACAGACCTGAATTCTTTTTCTTTCATCCTTGCTGCTTCGTACAGTCTAATTAACTCTTCAGTGTTTACATTAAGGATGAAACATCCCTTGTATTTTTTATTTTTGAGAAGTTTCATGTTTGTTTTGAATCTTGTTTGAGTCTCAGTTTGGATTTCCAAGTTTGCTAGCTTTCCTTCTTTTCTAAAAGAAATGTATTTCTCAAGACAGCAACATGGTTGAGATCTCTTGTATATATTTAGCGCAGTACCTAGACTATGAAGTTGTACTATTGTTCTGTAAAGAGGATGAATAGAAATTATTGTAAAGCTTTGGGAAAAGCATAGTATTGTATTTGTAACAATATTGTTCTTTGTAAACATTTAATGATCTCTATATAAAAATATAAATATATATATAAATATATGTGAGCCTGGAATGTTGATCTTGCACATCTACTGAATGTAATTACTCTGATGTTTTCTGCCACAGGTCTCTGACCTCTCTAATGAAGCTGTGCTGGTTTGATTTGGGGGAGAGACAGAGGGGAGAAGAGTGGGCTTTTTGCTTTGCAGGGGATGGGTAAGGGGTTTCTGGCCAGTTATTTTGTTGTGATGTATTTACTGTGCTACGTTCCTTTATTTAACAGAGCGCTAATGTCTGTAAGATTTGCAACAATAAACTACAAAACAAAAGTACCTCAGACAAGGCTGAGAATTTGCTCATACTGACCTAGAGGCTGACTTGCCAATGCTGAATGCATGCATAATTGGAAGGTGTCTGAACTTCTTTTCTGCCACTTAGTGTGGAGTAATTCTTATCTGTGTTTCTGCAGGCTTCCGTGAAGCAATGCTGTTACCTTTATTTTTAAAACAGCATTCTTTTCAGGCAATACATGACACTAGTGCTCCTAAACAAAGGTGATTCCTAATCTAAGGTAGCATCCCAGTTTTTACTGTGTGAAATGCCACTGATGTGATTGTGACAGAAATATTATTTATTTGACTGAATAACTTTAAATAGGAACTTTTCATAAATGGGGCTTTGATAAAAATTCTTCACATTTAAGAGTAGTTTCTGAAATCACAGTTTACCTTTCAATGTCATCAGCATGATTTATTATTAAAGACCTTAACACCATTTGAATAAATAAAAAGTAGAGTTGTGATATGTCTGTCCCTAGAATTAATCCTGGAACTGCCTGTGTTAAGGTTAAAAATATTTTTTAAAAATATATAATAATAAAATAAAAATATATAATGAGAGATTATGAAAAATATGATCATATTTGAAAGTCAACCAGAAAAAAGCCATCCAGGGAGTGTTTCTTCTGGTGAGCCTTCATAGGATTTTCTGCGCCTCCTAGGTTCTCATGAGTACTTTGAAAGCACAGAAATGGCAATACATGCCACAGCTGATTCAGAAGAAAACTAAACATGGGCATTCAGCCATTTAGTTCATAACATGAAATACAAACACCATCAACATGAGAGAATGAAGTGTTTCACCTTAGTGGCTTAAATGACAGACAGAAGCAATTGGGAAGTCCCTGGTAAAGGGTGCAAGTAGACAGACTGAGCTTACGTTCTGCATTCCCCTGTGTACCACCCTCCATCCTCCTATTTATTCTTACCATTATCTCTACGTACCAATTGCTGTGTTACAAACTTTTCTGCATTTTGGTGGATAAACATAAGCCCTTACTTTAGCAGTACAGACAAAAATTTCAGCAGATTTGCTATATACACGGGGGACATGTTTCTTGCCCTCTCCTTCAGTGTTTTTAATGGCTGGGATCCCCAGAGAGGACAAGCAGACCCCACCCCAGTTCCAGCATCCTGTAGAGCCTTGCAGGCTGAAGAGGTGATACTGGTGACCTGCGTGGACTGACAGTCAGTGTCAGGGCTGGGACTGTAATTTAAATAAATGTTCCGTGCAGAAGCATATGGAGCAATGCTGACGTAAAATCATGGTACATGAAGAGTTCATGATCCATGTGCCTCTTGCCTGAGTAGGGCCAGGCCTGTGCTGTGCTTTGCGCTGCTCCTACAGGGATGTCCCTTGGCCACAGAATAAATTTAGGTGGTTTGTTTTAAAAAGGAGCCTGCAGGCAGCCCCAGTGGTACTCAAAATGGTAAACACCATCCAGCAATACATGTGTGTCCCTGCTTTTGTCTGGAAGTGCAGCAGTGCCATGTGAACAGCCCTTTTGTTTGACTGTAGAAGTGATGAGTAGAGTTTTTCTCTAAGAAAATTTTTAATTACTTCAGATGACCTAAATGGAGTAAAATGGTGGGATCTGCATAACTTGTGCCCTTCCTGATGCTGCACAATCTGGGGTTCCCAGCACCTAAGGAGTATAAAATTAGCTATACTAGCTTCTTTGTTCATAGCACCTGCTGTAACAAATAGCATTTAAATGGGACTACACAAAGAGTGCCTTTCTTCCCAGAACAGTAACAAGCCAGCACCACCTATTGCAAAACACCTGTGCTTTTGGGTTTGGATGTTGTTCCATCATTAAGACAAAAATAATGTTCTGCCATTAAGAGAGAAGTTCACTGAGCCAAAAGAGCACTTCTTCAAGACAGATTTTATTTTTAGTACAGTTTGCATATCAACAACCTTGTCGTATAAAGAGTAATTTTAGAATTCTGTACACCATTTTTTTACTAACTTCGTTTGTATCTGAAGGTCTCCATTTTATGACAGGAGATTTTAATTTAAACTAAAGTGCCAAAAATTTGTGAAGTTCTTCAATACTGCTTTTGACAGCTCCTTCCACAAGGATGATGTATCATCATGCCCCACAACTACATGTTACCAAACTTCACAGAGATGCAGGGCACCAGTGTATCACAAACAGATGAGCTGCAGCGAGAGCCCAGTAAATGTCAGCTTTCAATGTGCTCATTACTCTTTGCAGAATGATCTTTGCCCTTGGAGTCTGTGCATAAGAGTATTAAAAAAGAAGGTGATTATTGACAAACCCATCTACCCACTTGCCAGAGATAATCTTCCTCTGCCATATGTGTATATGACAGAACTGCTCTGCTCTGCTGAGGAACAACCAAAAAGCCAGCTCAAAGCACAGTTTCTCTGACAACACCAATAACACTGTGAGGCCGTTCATGTTCTGCTCTTTGGATTCTCCGCTCTGCTAGCTGTTCCCCCTCTGTGGTGAAAGTACTCAGGTCACCACAGCTCTCCAGATACAGCAATCCAGGTTGCAATCTGGAAGGTAACACATGGACTCTCAATGATGTGGCTTGCTGGGCAGGTGTCATCACCTTTAAAAAGAAAAGAGAAGATTAAATCAGTTTTGTTTTCTGGTTCTTGTTCCATTAAAATAATTTTTTTTACCCAACTAGGAAGAAGCTACTTGTAGTGTTGTCTATTATGTTTAAAGAATAATTTAAAAAGCTATGAAACCCCTAGAATTTGCCAAGGGGGCATGGGAAAAGCAGTCCTACTTGGGAAAAGGAGTGGGGTGATTTTTTATTTTGTTGTTTGTGGGGTTTTTGTTAGGTTGGTTTAGTTTCCCCCTCAAAGGTGCACAGGAGTTCTCTCACTCCAACCTATGGCATGTCTGGTATT